GTCAATCCGATGCACATGGGATTATTGGTTGTACATATGTTCAAGCAAGTCAACAAATCCTACAAAATTGGTGGTCAATTAGAGTAACTGAACCATCTGTGATATCGGTACTTTTTGTTATGTCTAGGTCAATTCATATCCTTCGTCTACTAATTGTATAGATCTGTGATGTATTTCTCTGCTATATAAATAACTTGCAGCAATAAACCTGGGACAAGCAAGCATGCTTTTTATATAATAAATACAAGTTTGAATTTAGATTTGTATCTATACATATGTTCCAATAATATTTCCATCCTTTATATCTATTAGGGTTTGCAGATTTTTGGAACCCTACTAGAACGACCTGTGATCAATACTCTGTTTTGCAAAAATTACACAAAACTCCTTACAATGTTTGAAATGGAAATCAACTTTTGTAAGAAGATCTATCTCAGTCAGAGAGAAACGGTAAGTGGCATATGTTGATATATATTGATTGTGTTGCATTTGTGTAACAGGTTGGTTTCCTACCTTCATAAAAGGTGAGATACCAGCATAAGGGAAGTGGGTTAAAGTGGACAACTCCTCTGAACACTTCTTCACGGTGTGCTATATAAATTACAAACTGTTTTTATTTTGTAGGCTAAACGTGGAAATAACATGCTCCATAAAAACATGCCTGTTGTTGCTGGAAATTTAAAATGGTCTCAAGAATTAAGAGAAAGATTGATGAAACAAAGGTCATTCTTCAAGCACATTAATCATGAGTAAGTACCATATGCAGTATTAATCCAGTGTTAACTTTTCTGTCCTTGAAGTAAATCTAAACCTGAACCAAAAATGTATATAACAATATATTACAGCAACCAGTCCTTAGATGTGGTGGCTGCATTTGTTGTCTTTTTTCAGGCTCTTCTTCCTTGAACTTCCCAGGAACGCACTTTCTGTAATACGTGCGTAAGTAAGGCTATTTTACGAATGTTGTCCCCTGCCTCTCTCAAGGGAATGAATCCGACTTGGTCATTGGAGATCAGTTTACCCAGATGATTTTTAATATTACAATTACGGTACCAAAATTGCACCTATGAATTGCTAATAGGAGCAATTTCTAGACAGGTTAAACAAAACAAAATGGCTGATGCAACAAATTCAAA